TTTAGGGTTGAACGTTGAACGTTGAATCGTTTAGGGTTTAAGGTTCAAGGTTCAGCGTGTAGGGTTTAAGGTTCAGGGTTGAGGGTTTAGGGTTCAGGGTTCAGGGTTTAGGGTTGAACGCTGAACGTTGAATCGTTTAGGGTTTAAGGTTCAAGGTTCAGCGTGTAGGGTTTAAGGTTCAAGGTTCAGGGTTTAGGGTTTAGTGTTCAGGGTTTAGGGCGTGGGGTTCAAACTTCAGGGTTTGGGGTTTAAGGTTCAAGGTTCAGGGTGTAGGGTTTAAGGTTCCAGGTTCAGGGTTTAGAGTTTAAGGTTCAAGGTTCAGAGTTCCGGGTTTAGGGTTCAAGGTTCAGAGTGTCGGGTTTAAGGTTTAAGGTTCGGGGTTTAGGGCTTAAGGTTTCAGGTTTAGCATTTAGGGTTTAAGGTTCAGGGTTCAGGGTTTAGGATTTACGATTTAAGGTTAAGGGTTGAGGGTTTAAGGTTGGGGCTTTGGGGAGTTTAGGAGCGACATGCCGTTATCTCAGATTCAGGTTGGGCGCGCTGCTCGTGAGGGCACTCCGGGCAGAGATGCAGCCACAAGTAATACGGGGGTCTTAATATTACCTATACTGGTTGGGGGTTTGTTATGAAAATTATAGTTTAATATACCTCAAAACGCTAGTCTAATTACGGCCCCTGCATTATGGACAGTTCTGAGCAGTGAGGCCAGCCCGCAAGGTGGGCTGGCGTACTTCGTGACTTTTGAAGATCGGCTCCAACGGCCTGGCCTTTTGATCGACAGCAGCCGAGAGGAGGTGCTTGAGTGCTGCGGAAGCTCCTTTCTTCAGATTTCGGCTTTGGCACCTTGTGTCCATGGATCCGGCAACACTGGGAGAGCCAAAGTCGAGGCGCCATCACACCGCAGCAGGCGCGACGTTACACTAGACAGCCTGGAGCTGTAGGGACATTCCGTCTCGTCCTACTGCAATGATTACGGAGCTCCAGGGGTACCTCACAGAGGTCGGATAGCTTCCTGCAGCTGCAAGCATGATCGGTTATTTAAATGACTGATAGACGGGTGCGCAGGGACAGGGCATTTAAGGGATAAATGTATGTCAAGATGAGGGTCCTGGCTTTCTGGCTCGGTTCCGGGTTGTCTCTATTCCAGATATGATTTCTTGAGATTCGGGTCATGGCCTTCAGCGATGTTTGAATTCGCTCATCCGGCCGCAGATCCTACCCGAAACATCCTGAAACCATGCCGACCTTCTTATCTTCTATAAATAAGCCATAGAGCCCGAAGCCCTCAAACAAAACATCCTAAACCCTAAAACCCTGCATCGCAAATCCCATAAGACCCGTAGTCAGAAATCCTTATTACCCAACCCTGAACCCTAAACCCTAAACCCTAAACCAAACCCTGAACCCCCAAACACCAAACCCTATAAACCCTAAACCCTAAACCCAAACCCTGAACCCCCAAACCCTAGAAACCCCAAACCCTAGAAACCCTAAACCCAAACCCTAAACTCCAAACCCCTGAACCCCCAAACCCAAACCCTAAACCCTAAACCCCAAACCCTATAAACCCTAAACCTAAACCCTAAACCCCTAAACCCCCAAGCAACAAGCAAAACCCTCGACGAGCGACTCCCCGAGGCTCGCGCGCTACTTCACTGGAGAGGCTCGGGAGGGGGGTCTTTCGATTCTTTAGGACTTTGGAGTTCAGGGTTTAGGGTTTAAGTTAAGGTCTTCAGATTTAGGCCTAAGGATTTTAGAGATCAGGGTTTAGGTTTAGGGTCTTTCGATTTTTTAGGCCTCAGGGTTTCTAGAGTTCCTGATTCAATTCAGGTCTTAGGATTTTGGAGTTCAGGGTTTAGGGTTTAGGGTTTTTAGATTTAGGCCTTAGGATTTTCAGAGTTCAGGGTTTAGGGATTAGGGTCTTACATTTGGGCCTTAGGATTTTTGGAGTTCAGCGTTTAGGGTTTAGGG